ATGAGTCAACGGCAGACTCTGTGCCCAAAAGCGGGTACGCGACGGTTGACCGAGAGAAGAGACGGATCGGGGAGCTCTGGATCCAGGAGCTCATTGAGGAAAACGACTGGACTTCAGCCGGTCAAGTCTGCGGCAGGGTGCTCACAACCGCCGACAGATGGGAGAAATGGGTATGGACTTTTGCTGGTGCTAAAAGGCTCGACGAAATCACGAATTACATCCCAACAGAGCCGATGCACCCTCCAATCCCCACGACTATCTACGAAGTTGTACTCGGACACTATCTCCAAACCGACAAGCCCAGATTCAGGGAGCTGCTGGACCGTTGGCCCACGGATCTCTTTGACATCAAAACCATCACGACCGTATTGGAAAACCAGCTCAAATACCGGGATGTGCGAGAAACGAGCATTGATGACGGCGAAAAGGGACGAGACTGGCGTATTGTGATGGAAAGTCTAGCTAGACTTCATGAAGCCAACGGGCGTCACCGCGAGGCGTTGAAGTGCTACATCAAACTCCATGATGCAGACTCAGCTTTCCGCTTGATCAGGGACAACCACCTTGCCGATGCTGTCGCAGATGACATCCCCAGCTTCATTGGACTAAGGGTATCGCCAGAAGACGTGAGTGTGATGACGGAAGCCGACCTTGAACATGCCACATCCGAAGCGATTACTCTGCTGGTTGATGAAGCCCAACACGGTCTTTTGCGGCCGGATGTTGTCGTGGAACAGTTAACCGCCCAACAACTGAACTTGTACATCTACTTCTACTTCCGTGGTCTTTGGAAAGGCGAGGGCATCAAAGAACACGTAGGTGAGAACGTAGACCGGCTAGTCATGGACAGCCAGTCGTTGGTGGACGGGTTCGGGGACTTGGCTGTGCATTTGTTTGCCACCTACGACAGGCCCTTGCTCATGGAGTTCCTGAAGATCTCTGTTGGGTACACTTATGAGAAGGTTCGTTTGCCAAAGAGGACACCATGCGGTGCAAGAAAATACTAATTCTATAAATAGGCTGTCCAGGAATGTGAGCTATTCTCATACTATGACGAGCTCGTGTATCTGTACTCGAAGACTGGAGAAATGAAACGAGCGCTGTTTCTCATCATCGACCGCCTCAAGAACGTCGGCAAGGCTATCGAGTTTGCCAAGGAACAGGACGATCCGGATCTCTGGGAGGACTTGCTTAATTACAGCATGGACAAGCCCAGTTTCATCCGGGGCCTCCTTGAGCAGGTCGGTACGGCTATCAACCCAATTACACTGGTCCGGCGAATTCCCGAGGGCCTAGAAATTGAGGGCCTCAGAGAAGGCCTGACACACATGATGAAGGAGCACGAGATACAGTACAGTATAAGCTCGGGAGTCGCGCGAGTTTTGCGGAGTGAAGTGGCGGCGGCACAAAACGAGTTGCGCTCCGGACAACGCAAGGCAATCAAATTCGAAGTCTCGGTGCATTCAACGGAGCACGTCGACGTTGAGGTCAAGGACGTACCAACTGATCCAGATAACCCAGAGCGGAACGCATCCCATCCAGAGCTAGAGCACGACCATCGGGCCCCTCAGGTCGGGCACTGCGCAAGGTGCCATGAGCCCTTCACAGAGTATGAAATGGAAACCCTAGTGGGATACGCGTGTGGGCACGTGTTCCATGTGAGTCACTTGCTGGAGATGTTGCACAAGGGGAAGAAGATGGATGTCGAGTTGGGGAATGGGGTTGAGCAGGGGAGCAGATACTCGGTCGGGATGAAGGTGATGAGAGCGCGGCTATTGAAGGACAAGGTAAGAGGAGGTTGTCCGGTATGTCATCCGAAGTGAAGAGCGAAGTTATATCAGTCATTCTTACTATATGCCAAATACGTTGATGGCGTTTGCGGATGCAGGGCCTACAAGCATCCATCCGATGGGTTTGCCTCTTATGGCGGTGAAGTGACACATTGACATGCTCTACAGGAAGAGAACGAACATAAGCAAGCGACGATGCACCCTTGTTCAATTTCAAAATGTACCTCGGTACAAAACTTGATTATTATTCCCTTCTCAAGAGGTTCCCAAATGCGAAAATCAGAAACCTGTGTACCAAGCTGCCCCCTTCGATCTCGGCCAAGATTGCCTTCCAAATCACCATGCTAATCTGCTAGAGATGGCCCCCATCCGCAAACGGATCTCGGTGGGTCTCGCGTTTGAGAGTGACGGTGCTTTAGAAGATGATGGCAGCGACCATGCCAGCAACACCAAGGATAGCAGCGGAGAAGGGGTCGGGCATCGTGGCAGCGCCAGTCGCAGTCGGCGTGCCCGAGGCGCCGGAGGACGTGGCTTCACCGCCTGTGGCAGTTGGGTAGGTCCCGGTGTGGGAGTTGGAGCCGCTGCCCGAGGTGCCACCAGAGGGCTCCGGGTAGGCGCTGGACGAGTGACCAGACGCGTGGGTAGCGGCAGTGACGGTCTCGCCGGGCACGCTGGGCTGGCCGCTCTCGCCGGTGCCGGTGGTGGCTCCGGGGGGAGGGGCAGAGTAGCCGGGCTGCGACTCGCCGACGGAGATGCTCTCCTGGACGGACAGGCTGGGCTGGTTCTCGCCGTGGACGGAGGTATAGTGCTCGCCTTCGCCGTAGGAGGAGAGGCCGCCCTCACCGGGGACAGTGGCTGCGCCGGTCGGGACCGGGGGAACGCCGGTGTCGATGGAGCTGGCAGCCTCGCACTGGGTGTTGTGGACGATGGTGCAGGCGCTCCAGGTGAACAGGGCGGTGCCTAGGCGCGGTCTTGTTAGCTCTCAACGGCGTGGTACGGGCGGTTGCTGGTGGTGTTTACCTTCAGAGGTCGTGGATCCGTACTCCTCGGTGACGATGGGGAGGGTCGACGAGCAGTCCGCTGGGAAGTAGGTCAGCAGAAGCCAGGGACGAGGAACTCGGCGCGCTGCGTACAGTAGGAAGCGGTGGCAACGGTGGCCGAGGCGAAGACGCCCACGAGGGCCATGACGCTGGCGAGGGCGTTCATCTTGAAGACAGCCATTTTGTCGGTAGAAAGGAGTCTGCTGCGAAGAATGGTTTGGTCAACGTTTTGCAGAGGGAAAAGGTAGAGAGAGATAGAGAGAGTGGTGGAAGAAGCAAGAAGCTTGAAGGAGAAAGAAGTTGAAGAAAGGGGGGAAGGATTTTTGGGTGTCGTGCTCGGAGGTGGAAGAGAAGTGTTGCGGAGGAGGCGGGCGAGAAGCACGTGAAGTCAGGATAATCACACGGCTGCCCACGAGCTGGTTCTCCGCAGACGCAGAAGAAGAAACGGAAAAGGGATTCACGAACCTTGGCGGGTGTTTTGTTTTAGAGTGCTGATCGTGTGTGGTGGAGGTGGCAAGTTGCAGACTTGTTGATGTGTAGGAGACGGAAAAGGGAGAAGACGGTGACGAGCGAGGGGCCTGTGTGATAAACAAAACGGCTCGGCAAACAACGGGGGACCTATTGCCTGTCAGTTGGCGAACAGTTGAGAGCAGCTGGCAGGTGTAAGGTAAGGGCCCCCTATTGCGTCGGTTGGAGGGGGCAACGGGTTGAAAGAGTACGTGAATCACAGAACAGATTCTGCACTGGCTTTTTCTCTGGCAACGAACTGCCGGTCAGAGAACCGAAATGGAAGCCCTGGAGCTAGGATGACTGGACGCGAACAGAGGAAACAGAGGCACAGAGTGAGTGCGAACCGCAGAGAAATCAAAAGGGGTTTGGTCAAGACCAACCAACACTGACATACCTTTTAGAAAAGAAAACGTGGAATTCCTCACGAACAGGCTGCCAAGGAGACGATGAATGGAGTAGGAAGCAAAATAGACCACGATGCAGTTGGATCGAACGAACGAGCCTGTCGGGAGGATTCCAGCTCTACTTGTTTCAAAACGCCTCTCGCCTGAAGCCTCTCTCCCACCTCACACGCACTCAGCAATCTTCAAATCCCGGCTCTGAGCCGCCGAGATCGATATCCTTCGCAAATCTCTTCCTCCTGCAGGCTACGTGATGCAGCGGGAATGATGGTGGCACCATTGCACCCGCGGCCGTATCTCGCAGCGAGGCAACACAGCGCAGCACCACGCTTCCCAGGTTAATTGCAGCTGTCGACCGGCCCTGGCTTGGTGCTACTGCGGCCATCCGTCTGCGGCTCGAGTAACCGCTGACAGGGGGGGGAGGCTGGCTTTGTTGTTTGGTGCTCTTCGCCCAGAGACATGTTGGCTTATTTCGCACATGCCGTGCTGGATTGTCAGAACTCGGAGGCTCCCCCCTAAACACCATCGTCGACGCCGGGCCAACACGTGTCGGTGTGACGGGCTCGTGCAATGGCAGCCGGGGCGTTGCTCAACGTGACTAGCCGACGTCGACACGGTTGTCCGGCCAGGGAGGCAAACTGCATCGTCCAAACCGAGGGTGGCATAAGCGAGCATGCAGCTTGCCACTGCAAACATTCTGTCTCACGGCCCATCTGGACCGAAACGTGCTGAGATTGGATGCTCTGTTGCGCCTTTGTCTCCCGGGGGTATTCCACAGGGCGGTTGCGGTCGTTATGAAATAGCCAAGGGGGGTTTGTACGCTGGTGGCGTGTCTGAGAGGGGACGGTCGTGTTGGTGTTTCGTTTGGTCTTGTCTTTGACTAACATGGGACACGAAACCAGTGGTCAGACCACAACAAAGGTCAACAGTAATTAGCTTCAGCTGTGGTTATCTCACGCCTCAAGATGCCATTGTTTGGCCGGCCTTCCGTCGGATAGCCTGTCATTGCTGAGTGTTTGGCCCCGTCAAAGAGTCGTTGAATGACGCGTCTCGAAACGTCTCCAGGCCAACTCCCTCCCATCTTAACTGAGTGCCATAACGCGCGAAGTAATAAGTGAAACTCTCAAGTACGTGGTCCATAAAAAAAGAGGACATACGGAGCGTTAACAAGTGTGAAGTAAAAGAGGCTACAACGAAGCATACTGGCAAAACGCAAAAGTGCAAAAATAGGAACGCCCAGCCGACCAAGTCATCTGCACTGGACGAACAGGGAATCGAACCCTGGACCACTCCCAAGTATCCATATGCGGAACTTGCTAAGGGAGTATTATACCACTAAACCATTCGCCCACCTTGGTTGGATAATGACGCAGCTCGTAAAAAGTGAGGTATATATATCCCAAGCTTCCAGCTGCTCTCTTCCTGAATTCTCAGTAACGACACAATGCTTCCGATCACTTACGTTTCCCAGTCTAAATAGACCGTTAGGTTGCTCGACGCCTTCCGCGATGCTAACCATTTTCTCAAGTTGTTATCATGAAGTTAAAAGGATTCTGTAAATAATAGCCTTCAGAGTCCATGCGCTTATATGTGTATAACCCCAAGAAAAGACAAAGAAGCTCAACCGTGGGAGCAAGTAAACGTAACAACCTCCAATATCCAAATTGTCCAGGCCCCTGATTTCAGAACTAAACTACTAAATGTCAAACCAAATAATACTACCTATAGACCGCTGAATATCATACAAAACCCCCACAGCAAGTAAATTATCCCCACCAACAACCGAAGCTCCTCTCACCCCTTAGAAACCTCAACCGAGGACAAGCACCCATCTCCAGGGTAATCCCCGTCACTCATACTATTTACTGAAGAAATCGAGCAAGTACTGTCATGCCGCCGACGTAAGCACCTCCATACATCAGCGCATCTTGGGTTGTCGTTAGTATGCTGAACGCACCCGAGCCGAATAACACCATGCTAACGACGACTCCGAAAAGAATCACAATAGTCATGCGTCCAGCAAAGTCATGAATTACAGCAAAGGCAAAAAGAGGGCCAAAAATGGCCACAACTCCTCCGATAGCCAAGTCCTGAAGTGGGCCGCGGTTGAAAATGTGTCTCTGGGAAACCGCCTCATTTTTGTTGGGGTCGTCCTCAGGGTCACGAATCGGAAGGGGCGCTTGATCATCTGGCGCCACTCTCTGATCCATTGGTGGCGGTGGTAGGTTAGGTTCTAGTAGGACGAGATCGGGTGCTTGAAGAAATCGAGTCTCCAACTCTGCGATCGGTCTCTGATTAGCGAGAAACGCCCTGTAGTGTTGAATGTCGTTCATTGTTGGTGGTGGCAGCCCCTGGACATGTCCGAAAGATGTGAGCAGTGAATCTGGACGTGTTAGATGATATGTGTTTCGGACTTAAGTCAACATCATCTTACTGTAAGTATGAAGCTTTTGGCAAAGTAGGTTCATGATCCGCTCCTTTCTTTGATGGAAGGGATGTTGGCTGTCCCTCTCTTCCCGTTCTGAGGCTGGAAGGGCCGCCCCTTGTCGATTTTGAGAGTCAATGTCGTCGAGTTCGCCTAGAGTATCTTCGAGGGTAGTAATTTGATCCTGCAAAGACAGCAAGATACGATGATTGGTAGCCTCAAACCGTCGATACATGGGCCTCACAGGCGGACCAGTTTCGCCAGCCAGTGTTGCCGCGACCAGTTCATACCCACTCAGAGGTGGTCTCTCTGGCACTGGCGGCTGAGGACCCATTGGATTTGGAGCGGCCATCGGGTTTGGATATTGAGAAGACTGGAAGTATTGGAAGGGCGCATTGCCTCGAGGTGTTTCTGGCGCACCGTAGTTCTGACCGGGATACTGTTGCGGCACGGGAAGCGATCCTCCAAAATGGGGGTCGAAACCTGGAGAAATTTGCGATGGATGTTGAGTTGCCACGGCGTATTCAGGAAACTCCGGGCTCCAGCTTAGATCAGGCCTGGGATCACGTTCAGAGAAAGCGTCGGGGATGTTGCTGGGGAGAGATGAAGAAATAGACGGTGAGATCTGGGGTCCACGACGTCTGGCGATGTAAGGGCCTGCATCTCTGGAGGAGAGCTGAACAAAGCTTTGCGTAACGGTGGGTGACTCCGATTCAGACAATTGCATAGAGTTAGGTCGTTGTGATCCACGTGGCCTTCGATTTCTGGGCTTCTGTTGTTCTCTGTGCGCTAGCGTGTCGTCTTTCTGGGATGATGCAGTCTCCATGGCGGTGGATCGGCTGCTGTTGGAGCTTACAGGGCCAGTGACGGCTGTTGAAGACGTGGTGGAACCAGTCATAGAGGGAGAACTTGTTGGTGACGACGACTGAATAGCAGCGTCGTCTGATGGGCGATCGTCTTCCTCGTATTCCTGCACAGCGGTCGAATGCGGCCTGGAGCTCCTCGACTCGGACAGCTTAGAAGTGACATTGGGGGAGGAGACCGGTCTGGATCTTGGATTCATTGGCCTCCGTTTTCTCAAGCTTCCGTCATCTGCCATGTCCATGTGCCGCTGTTGAGAAACATCCATTGTCCCGGACAATGCTTCCGCAGCCTGAGTTCCAACGCTGATTAGTTGAGGTTTGCCTGGATCAACTCCTGCGGTGCTTGCTTGTCGGCCTGGAACTGTCTGCTGGCCTGTATGATGCCTGCTCTCAGGTTTAGAACAAGAGTGAGCCTGCCGTAGGATGGTCTAATCAGTGGAAATGAACGATATGGCAGGGGCTGAGTGTATTTTGTATCAGTGAAAGCGAGTAGCTTACCGCTCTTGAGTGTTGACAAATGGTATAAGTGAGGTGTGTGAGTATTTCCAGATAGGATCACCTGGATCGGAGCTGGATGAATCGATGGATGGTACGACAGTCGATGATAAGCAGCAAATACCGATAACGACAGGGGTCGCGGTTGTGTACTATGTACAGCAGGGGCACGAAACGACGAGGGCCAGAAGCAAAGGATACAGAGAAGAAGAGACACACACTTGTCCCGTCGCGGTCCGATGTCACGGCGAAGAGAGAAACATGGGGAAAGGGAAGCTGGGAGCGGAGCCTCCTTCAAGCAAGCAACACACGGCCAACTCGTCATCCAGATGACACGCTTCTGCATGTGTCAGCCCCCCGGCAACGTCTTCTTGCAGGCGTCACGATTGGATGGGCATGATGGATACGTGATGGTGTGGTCAATAGAGGCGGTGCAAGCGCTTCGCACTGTACTCATGGTCACAGAGCAGCGACGAGGCCAGGTTGTGATGCCGTGTGGTGTACTGCGAACGGACGCATCAGCTGGTCTTACTGTGTGAGTATCCACATAAATGGCACTGTACAGTAAACAAGCTCATGCCCTCTGCTGGCTCCGGTTCCGAATTGGCGGGATTGTCGGGTTTTCTAGCGGCCCGGATACTCCCGCCGACCGCGAACCGTTGAGAAGCAGCTCCACCAAAGCTACCCAGCTCTTCACTTACACATTTGCGATAAAATTCGAGCTTCATTCAATCGTTGCTGATCCGCCGCTCGGGTCGAAAAGCCGACTGCCTGGGGAGTGCCGAACGAAGCCTCAATTGTGCTAATTCGCACCAACTTGCGGAAAATTCGTCCACAGACTGCTCGCATCAGCACTACATCAACTATCCCTTCTTTTCGCAGTTGAGCAATACGGACAAACACATGTCAATTGTGCCTCATACCAAGCCGTCCGATACTGCACCCGTGAGCCACTGTCAGCCTCCAGCGTCAGAAGTGCATCATCCAGTAACAATCGAGCCAGCCAGACCACGCACGACCGTATTCAGCTCTAACTCTCATTTCCTTTACCAACATTCGGGCACTCAGTAATTCGCCGCATCCCCGCATTGGACGCACAATGACGCGCATCCCAACCTCTACGCTGGGCAGATACCTGCTCAACGGCCAAATTTCGCAACGTGGCTGCATTGGTTCAAGCCAGGTTTCGAGGTATCCAGCTGTAGCTCGTCTAGCTGGTTCAAGGCTCTGCTCAGTCAGGCCGTTCCACGCTGTCCCTGAGGCTTCCACCGCCAAGACACCAGCTCAGCCGGCACCTCTACGCAAGCAGTTAAGGGAAGAGGCGAAAGCGGCGAAGAAGCAGGGGAAAAAGAAGTCAAATGGAGACTCTCAAACTGTTGATGGTTGGGAGTTGACAGTAGGCATTGAGATCCACGCCCAATTGAATACGTCATGCAAGCTATTTTCGCCAGCCATCACATCATTCAACGACGAGCCTAACAGACATGTTGCCCTTTTCGACGTTGCCATACCAGGTAGCCAGCCGCTGTTCCAGAAGGAGACCCTCGTTCCGGCCGTTCGCTCGGCCTTGGCCCTGAATTGCGACATCCAGAAGCTTAGTCGTTTCGACAGGAAGCACTACTTCTGGTGGGACCAGCCGTCTGGCTATCAGATCACTCAGTTTTATGAGCCGTTTGCTAAGAACGGTCACATTACACTTCTGGCACGGGACGGAATATCTCCTCAAGATGGCGAGAGCGTGACTGTGGGAATCAAGCAGGTGCAGCTTGAACAAGATACCGCCAAAACCCTTGCCCAAACAAATAACATTCACTGGCTGGATTTCAACCGAGTAGGTGCGCCACTCATCGAGATTATCACTGAACCCGAAATGCATCACCCTCGCACAGCTGCCGTTTTCGTCCGCAAGATCCAAATGCTGCTGAATTCTGTCGATGCTTGCGTATCAGGCATGGAGATGGGAGGTCTACGAGCTGACATTAACGTGTCTGTTCGGAAGACTGATGGGACGAACCCCCATCTTGGTACGAGAACCGAGATAAAGAACTTGAGCACCATCAAAGCGATCGAGGACGCCATCATCTCTGAGCGAGATCGTCAAATTCGCGAAATCGAAGCAGGCGGCATTATTGCTAGTGAAACTCGCGGTTGGAATATCGGCTCAACAGAGACCCGTCGACTGCGCGGAAAGGAGGGAGAAGTGGATTATCGGTACATGCCTGATCCAGACATTGCACCTCTTGTCATTGACGATGACCTTGTGAACCACCTCCGAAATTCGCTTGCTGTGTCGCCAGATTCAGAGCTTGACACGTTGGTTGCTGAATTTGGTCTCACGCCGAAGGATGCGCTGTCACTAATCAACCTTGAGAATGGAGCGCGTGTGCAGTATTTCTACAAGGTGGTTAAGTCCCTCGAGGAGAAGATCACTGGCGATGGCACCGAGGCAGAACCGGACTTCAAGACCTACGCTTCCCTGGCTGGAAATTGGATTATCCATGAGCTTGGTCGTCTGACCACCTACAAAGCCGGTCCACTTGCAGCGAGAGATCTTTCATTTACCATCG